CTTTATATTTGTTACAGAGTTCCAACACCAACTCATGAGTCCTCTTAACCTGGTATTCCATGTTGTTGTTGTCAAATATTCCTTCCTATTTCCGTGTAGGAAATAGGAAGGAATATTTGAAAGATAATTATAGCGAATTTTTTCATCTTTTAAAGGGAGGAGCCAGAAGTTTTTATTTTATGGTTGATGATTAGAAAAGTTCGGATTAAAATGTTTTTAAGACTTTTGAAGGCGGATTAAAATGTTTTTAAGACTTTTGAAAGTAATTAGCAAAATGCAAAAAAAAAAAAGTACTTCTTTCAAATCACAAAATTAAAGAAAATAAAGACAAAAATGGAAATAGAATTAAAGAAAGGAAATATCAGAGTAGCATTAGTATAGTTATATGAAGGATGGAGGGTGAAAGGATCAACCCCAAGACAATATTTGCAAATAGATGAATGAGCAACTTTCTGAATTCTAATGTTCAGAGTAGGCTTACAACTAAATGCATGTATTTCTAGGAAATAATGCCAGGTTCCTACTTCTTTGCTTCCTATCTTATCTTCATGTAGCACTTTACTGTTTACAAAGAAGAGAACAAAATTGAAACTCTTGGAGTCAAAGAAGGAGCATGACTCAAGGAGGGAAATTCCAATTGCCATAAGATTACTGGTGTATAAAATGCCTTATATATATCAACTACGAATTTTCTGTCATGTTCAGCATTGCTACTCCCTCATTGAAGAATATCAAAGCTGAAGTAGCAGTATGAGTGTGAAGGGCATGGTTCTAGCCTTGGCTGTGCTCTTCTGTGCTACAACTGTCCAAGGTATGTGGTAATTTTCATTTCTCAGTTTGAAAACTTTTTTTTACAGTGTCTCACAGATCTTCTCCTACTTTTATCTTTAAAAACATGGTAAAGATTTATTTATTCATTTATTTATTAACCCTGCAAAATTACTACAGCTTTGGCAGTGTAGGAAATATTTCAGGTACTACAGATGATCAAAACTGAGGATTAATAAACATCATGGAATTTCAATTTAGCTACAATATCTGACAGCTGCCTTTAGCAATAGTTTTAAATGCCTGTCAAGAAGAGGTCCTGTGGAATAATGGTATTAGTTTCCTGGAAAAATTCTTGAGCATAAGACGCAAATAAGCCTCACCACCACTGTAACACAGGGAAATGCTGCATAAACTGCCTCATGCTTCCTGTTATTTAAAATACACTGTAAAGAAGAAGGAATGTGAATGTTTATGAAAAATTAATTTAGGAATGTTTTACTACACACATGAATGCTTTTGATTCATGAGATCTTCACTCAAGTAATAAAGTTAACATCTTCAATGTAACTGATTGTAACATGGAATATAGATTTAAAAACAAAACAAAACTGTGCTTACATATTTAGAAATATTCAGCATTTTCCTGGGGCAGGGGGAAATGATACGGTGTCAAGTGTTGATGAATGACTGTTTTGATCATTAATGAAAGAACAAGTCCTGGTAGGTTCAGTAGTTAATGCACTTGCCTGCTAACCAAATGATTGGTGATTCAAACTCACCAGCCCTCAGTGGAAGAAAAACATGGCAGTCTGCCCCCACAAAATGTGTTGTTGTTAAGTGTCGTTGAGCCTGTTCTGACTCATAGCAACCCTGTATAGGGTTTCTGAGGAGTGGCTGGTGAGTTAGAACCACCAACCTTGAAGTTCAAACCAACCTTGTGGTCCAGTGTATTATCCTGCAGCACACCACACCAGGCCTCCCTTGAAAAGTCAAAAGGGCAGTTATACTCCTGGTGTGGCGCTGTGGGTTAATGTGCTGGACTGCAAAATTGGTTTGAACTGCAAGGTCAGCAGTTCAAGCTCACCGGCCGCTCCTCAGAAATCTTAAACAGGGTCACTTATGAGTTGGAACCAACTCAACGGCACTTAACAACCAACTCTGCTGCATAGGGTTGCTATGAGTCTGAATCAACTTGGTGACAATTGTTATTGTTGTTATGTACCGTGGAGTCAGCTTCAACTCATAGTGACCCTGCACAGGACTTCCGAGGCTGTAAATCTTTACGGGAGCAGAAAGCCTCATCTTTCTCCCGTGGAATAGCTGGTAGTTTCGAACTGCTGACCTTGAGGTTAGCAGCCCAATTTGTAACCTGGTGGCAATTAGCCACCATTAATTAAATACTCAACTCACATTCACTACCAGGATTATAAAGCATACCCTCCCATTGCAATCAGATGCACTAATAACTGATATTATGATGTGTTCTAGGCTTCCCCCCCATGTTCAAAAGGGGTCGGTGTCTTTGCACAGGCCCTGGATTGAAAGCAGTGAAAGTGGCTGACATTGAGAAAGCCTCCATACTTTACCCAAATTACAACTGTGACAAACTAGAAGTGATGTAAGTAATGGTGTAGGTCTTTTGTTTGTTTTGTTTATATATTTTTTCACCCAAATTTTAACTCTTTTGGGTCTTTGCTTAATAGTATCACCCTGAAATCAAAGAAAGGACAACAATGCCTAAATTCCAAATCCAAGCAAGCAAACCTTATGATCAAGGTAAGTTACCCAATTACCATGTTAAATACCTGTCTTATCAAAGGCGGAGCTTTTGAAAAAAGAAAATAGACAACTGCAGGGAGATTCTGCTATGATTCTATCTAAAGCATTTTGACAGGGGATACGGGGTATATAATTAGTTGCCCTTTCTGCTATGTTTTTACATATCCACTCTAAATTATTGGGGAAACAACAATAGCCCAGCTAAATAAAATTCTCTTTTTCTCATTATAGCAAATTCAAAGAAAGAATTCTGAAAAATATTGAAGCATATGAAATCCTGAGAAAGAGGATCTGAAAACCCAGAACGTGTCAAGTTTTACTGTGACTACTGAAAATATAAGCATTCTGCAGTAGAAACTCACCTTCTCCTGACTGATGAATATACATTCATGCATTTCTAGCTTAGAGAGCCTTCTAGGAAAGCTGATGCTTATAACTATTCTGTTGGAACTATAAAGACACTGCTGCCTCTAGAAATAGTGGTTTGTATCTTATCTATATACCATTTTACAATCTGTTACAATGCAGATGTTAACATTATTACTCGAGTAAAGATCTTATGAGTCAAAAGCATTCATGTGTGTAGTAAAACATTCCTAAATTAATTTTTCATAAAAATTCACATTCCTTCTTCCTAAAATCCTGTAGCACATATATATTATTGTAGTTTTTAAGTGCCATGGAGTCAGTTCTGACTCATAGAGATCCTGTCTGTATACGGTTTCGGAGGAACAGCTGGTGGGTTTAAGTCACGAATCTTGTCATTAGCAATCAAGTGCTTACACTATGGCACTACACCTAAGGAAAATGATCTTATACATAGTTTACTTGTTCTTTTAAAAAGACTGATTTATGAAAAGTACTGGGAAAAAATTATAAGCTAAAGGCAACTGGTAAGAGCTCAAATATTTCAAAATTGAGTTAATAACTCTGGTCTAATTTTATTTTTTTCACAGCTTTACTAACATGCTTTTAAGCACTGAGGGCCTATTATATATTTTGGCTTTAAGTATTCTTAAAAATCATACATAGAAATATCATGCACATATTTTAAGCATGAAATTTTTTTTGTTTACTAAAGAAAAATATTCAGAAGTAAATATATATGCACATCTAGCAATCATTTTTTACCTTTTGTGATTCTTCTCTTTACAAAAATATATAATCTAAATAATTTCTTTAGCCATAGCGCTGGTAGCATAGTGGCTACGAGTTAGGTTGCTAACCTCAAGGTTAGCAGTTCAAAAGCATCAGCCATTTCATGTGAAAAAGAAAAAGATGAGGCTTTCTGCTCCGGTAAAGATATACAGCCTCGGAAACCCCATACAGGGTTGCTATGAGTTGGAACCAACTCCACGGCACACCATCACCACCACCATGTTATAAAATTTATATGGAGTCCTGGTGTGGTGCTGTAGGATAAGCACTGGACCCTAGGGTTAGTTTGAGCTACAAGGTAGGCAGCTTAAATTCACCAGAAGCGCCCTGGATACCCTATACATGGTAGCTATGAGTCAGAAACAACTCGATGGCACTTTACAACAACAATGCTATAAAATTTAGGGATCCCCAAGATTGGACTCCTGGTGTGGCACTGTAGGGTTAGCACTGGACTGCAAACCACAAAGTCGGCAGTTCAAGCCTACCAGCTACTTCTCAGAAACCCTGTACATGTTCATTATAAGTCTGTATCAATTTGATGGCATTTACCGACAGACAAGAAGACTGGTTTAAGGAGCCCTGATTAAACATTGTGCTGCTTAACCAAAAGGTCAGCTGTTCGAATCCATCAGCCACTCGCACAGGAGAAAAGACCTCGTGATCTGCTTCTATAAAGATTGTTATTGTATGCCACTGAGTCAGTTCCCACTCATAGTGACCCATATAGTGTTTCCAAGGAGTGGCTGGTGGGTTGAACTGCCAACCTTTTGGTTAGAAGTCCAGTGCTGAACCTATAGCACCACACCAGGAGTTCTCCATAAAGATTATAACCTAAGAAACCCTAGGGGCAGTTCTACTCTGTCCTATAGGGTTGCTATATGTCGAGATCAACTCAATGCACACAAGAAGACTGATTTTCTTTAAATAGATAAACACAATTTTCTTTCTAATAAGCTACCACAACCCTTCTTAAAACAGAAACAACTATAGGTTTTCCATAACATCTGTAATGCCTTCACCTCATATTTCAGGAAATAAATGGCTTCTTACCATCACACAGTATCATTTAGAAATATAATGGGTAGTTGTGGGCCAGAGCTACCTCTTATAGTGGGTCTTTCAGGGTCCACACTCCTTTCCTGCTTGGGGTCAAGTCCACTAGTATGAGTCTTGGGAGGCCAACATGGAGACGCTAAAGGGAAGAGATCTTCCCTAGGAGCCAGAAGAAGGACTCAGCCAAGCCACTCCTATTCTAAACTTTGAGCTTCAGCTAGCACCACAAAGATGCTATCAGTTAAAACTGTTTAAAGTAGCAGTAGCAGGAGTGAGAATTTGATAATAGTGGCTTCCCAAAAAAGGTTGCTGCAGGGTAGCAATTACTAGGACTTCCTACCAACTAGCTCTACTAGGTTCTCATCCATTCTCCAAACTAGGTTCTCCAATCTTCCTGTGGATTCTTCAAATACTCAATGTGTTAATGCTTAAATTTCTTTGCTACTCAAATTACATAGAACTGGTTTTCCTGCACATAACCAAAAACCTTGGCTGATAACTTTATGTGATTACCTAACCATTTGAAGGAGTCCTGGTATGGTACACTGTAGGATTACTGAACTGCTAATCATAAGGTTGGCAGTTCAAACCCATTAGCCACTTCTAGGAAATCCTATACAGGGTTGCTATGAGTTGGAACCTACTCTGAAGGCATTTTAACAAAACAAAAGAAACATACTTGAATAATGAAAACATTTGTTACAGATTTACAAAAAATTATTATTGTTGTTAAGTGCTGTCATGTTGATACCAACTCATAGCAACCTCATACACAACAGAACAAAACACTGCTCAGTCCTGTACCAACCTCACAATCGTTGCTATGCTTGAGCCATTGTTGCTACCACTATGGTAATCCATCTCGTTGGGGTATTCCTCTTTTTTACTGACCCTCTACTTTACCAAGCATAAAGTCCTTCTCCAGGGATTCGTCCCTCCTGATAATATGTCCCAAGTATGAGAGACAAAATCTGGCCATCCTGGCTTCTAAGGAGCATTCTGGCTGTATTTCTTCCAACACAAATTTGTTTGCTCTTTTGGTGGTCTACTGTACTTTTAATATTTTTCTCCAACATCATAACTCAAATGCATCATTTCTTCTACGGTCTTCCTTATTCGCTGTCCAATGTCCACATGCATATTAGGTTACTGAAAAAGAACTCCGGTAACATAGTGGTTACAAGTAAGGCTGCTAACCTCAAGGTCAGCAGTCAGAAACTACCAGCCATTCCACTGAAGAAATATGAGGCTTTCTGCTCCAGTAAAGACTTACTGCCTCAAAAACTCTATGCATGGACACTATGGGTCAGAATCGACTCCATGGCACAGCACCACCACCACCACCACGAGACGACTGAAAATGTCATGGCTTTGGGTCAAGTGCACCTTAGTCCTCAAACTGACATCTTCAGTCTTGAACACTTTAAAGAGGTCTTGTGCAGCCCAAGCCAGTAAGAAGGTCTGTATGTTCCAAGCATTCTCCTATGTAATTTATTATCTGTCCATTCTCTAATGGTTGGCTCTTTGATATCAATGGGAAGGATAAACACACAAGATACATTAAAATTGCTCTTTTGTTTTCAAATAAGCAGAAATACCTAGTCTGTCTGTTTGCCTTACTGGGCTGACTTGCATGTTGCCATGATTCTGGAAGCTATGCCACTGATATTTTAAATACCAGCGGGGTCATCCATGGTAGACAGGTTTCAGCTGAGCTTCCAAATTAAGAGAGACTAAGAAGAAGGAGAGACAGAGTGGCTGGTGGGTTTGAACCGAATATTTAATCACTGAAAACCTTATGAATAGCAGTGGAATACTGTCAGTAACAGAATATTGAATATTAAAACATGAAGAGCACCAGAATATTGTCAGAGATAGTGCTGGAAGATGAGCCCCTCAGGAGGGAAGGCACTCAAAATACAACTGGGGGAAGAGCTGCCTCCTCATATTATAGTTGGCCATGATGATGCAAATGAAGTAAAGCTTTCAGTACCTTCATTCACTGATGGGGCACAATTCAAAAGGAGGAGAAACAGATGCAAACATTCATTAATAATCAGAACATGGAATGTACAAATTATAAATATAGGAAAATTGAAAGTTGTCCAAATGAAATGGAACACATAGACGTCGATATCCTAGGCATTAGTGAGCTGAAATTGGCCATTTTGAATCTGACAATCACAAGCTTTATTAGGCTGGTAATAGCAAATTGAAGAGAAATGGCATCGCATTCATCATCAAAAAGAACATTTTAAGATCTATCTTGAAGTATAATGCTGTCTATGATAGGGTAATATCCATATGCCTATGACTCAAATTTACATATCAACCTCTAATGCCAATGATAATGAAATTGAAGAATTCTACCAAATTCTAAGTCTGAAATTAATCAAACATGCAGTCAAGATGTATTGATAACTACTGGTGATTGGAAGACAAAGGCTGGAAACAAAAAGGAACGATCAGTAGTTGGAAAATATGGCCTTGATGATAGAAATGATACTGGAGATTGCATGATAGAATTTTTCAAGACCAAAGACTTCTTCATTGCAAATACCTTTTTTAAACAACATAAAAGACGACTATGCACATGGACCTCATGAGGTGGAATAGACAGAAATCAAATTGACCACACATCTGTGGAAAGAAATGATGGAAAAGTTCCATATCATCAGCCAAAACAAGGCCAGGAGAAGATTGTGGAACAGACCATGAACTGCTCATATTTAGAGAATTTGGGGATGTATGTGTCCTTCTTACGCTCATTCTCCCATAAGAAAAGAGTGGCATTTTCTACAGACTGCACAGTATGTGGATCCTGGTATGGCACTGTAGGATAAGCACTGAACTGCTAACTACAAGGTCAGTGGTTCAAACCTTCCAGTTTGCTCATTGGAAACCCTATACAGGTTCACTATGAGTTCACTGACTTGACAACAACAACATGGTATGTAGTATTGCAATAGAACTTAATGCAGAAGCAGACATGAGAATCCAGCTGCCTTCTATTGAAGCCAAATCAGCTGCTACAGAGTCCAATCTGACTCATGGCAACC